AACCTTTGTTATTTAGACAAAAATTTAATATATTTTAAATTGCAAACAACTTATTTACAAAAAACAACAATTTTATCAAAAATTAAAAAAATTCCAAATTATGGTTGACCCGTTTTATAGTAAAATATACTTATATTAATTTACGAAAATAAAAGAAATTTTAATGATTCAAATTCACAACTATCAGTGGCTTGTAATAAAATAAAAATGAATAATAATTCATAGCCTAAACAATCTGAATTGTGTTTTTGAAAACATCTCTACACACTGGGCAGCATTTAGATTGTTGAACGTTAAAACATTGGTCACACATTGCAACGTGTCCGCATGGAAACATAGCAATATTTGCATTGTTTTTCAAGCATAATAAGCATACGTTTTCGGGAACATACTTTTTCTTTTCACCTTCCACACCTTTCTCCTCTTTTTTCTTCCAAATTAAAGCAGATATTTGTGCCTTTGTTTCGTTGATAGAGTACAACATAGCGCAAATTCCGTCTTTCTTTTGGTTCTGAAATGTCTTAATTTTGAGATCTCCATTGCACTGAATTCCCTTCAAAATAGGCACAACCGTCGCACCATTAATACCACTGCAAAGTTCAATTGTTTTCATCTGACTTGGGTTTGAACAAACTTCTTTAATTGGTGTTATTTCTCCAAGACAACTCTCTTCGTCGTATTCCAAAAGCCCTTTATTAATAGCCAAAAAGTTCATCGAACAATTTTGTTGACATACAAAATAAATGAAGCCCATATTAATTTGTGTTTGCAAAGTTAGATAAGGCACTGAACTGAATCCTAAATAGCCGGGAATGTAATACATGGTATCCGGATTACGTAGACGAAAAGTGGTGTTTTGTATTGGAGAAACATATTCGATTAATCCGTGGTGCTCTGTAAAAATAGCATAAGAAACACCAAAGCTGTACATATCACCAGAGAATACTTCACAGTAAATTTCAATCGACTTTTCTGTTTGGTTCTCCGTGTGAAGAAGAAAATTACAATTTTTATTCATGTCAACACTACTGAGAAATAATACAATTTTACTTAACAAAGGATGTGGCGCGGAAAAGTGGATGATTGAACGCATAACATAGTGGGATGACTGTGTTATGTAATCACAATTAGAACTGTCAAAATTTGCATTCCCCAATTCAAAGTCCATCAGTCTGTTTTTTTTTAGTCTAATTTACATTTAATATCAAAAAATTATTTTTATTAGAAATATCTTAAATAATTATATCTATACCAATTTATTATTATTATTTTAACTAGTATTATATAGTTTTTATATTAATTTTTGTAACTTATTTATTTTGGTTTCTAAAATTTATATTAAAAAAATTGACTAAATAAACAAAAAACTCAATTTATTAAAAGTAAATAACTTGGTAAAAATATAATATTAATTGATTATTAATTACATAATTATTAAAAGTTTTATATTATAATATATAATATTTTTGTTATTTAAAATAGCTATAAATTGATATTATAAGTTGTAGTAAATTAAACTAATCAACAAAATTATAAATAAAAATCAAACCCATAATTATTAAAAATGGCAACAAGTATAAAGATAAAGAATGAAAAAATAGGAATTAGACCGTACGACTAGGATCATTCTTAGAGTATGTCACTTTCTATTTAACAAATAGAATTCACAAAATAGGATGAAGACTTTCATCACTTCAGTGCCAAAGGGAGATACGCAGCAATGCACGATGAACTGCTTGTTGAGGGGTCGAGTGCGTGCACAACACTCTGAGATGAGAGGCACTGAAGTCTGTCTGACTATTTTTTGTGTATTTTAATTTTATATTATTATATTATTATATTATTATATTATTATTAAAGAAATTAAATTGTTATATTATTATATTATTATATTTAATTAATATATTATTAAAGAATTAAATTGATAAAATAAGAAACAATCAAATTGAATGACAATCAAATGAGAACAAATTGTGAGCGCTTTTCAATGTGTTTTGGATTCTTACCTTTTGGTTTTTTGTTTTTGAGATTTTGATAAGCCCACCGTTTCTGTTTCTTATCGTCTTGCTTGTTTGGTGTGATGTATGTGACTGTTTTGACTGCCTTCTTCTGTAAAGGAGTGTTGTGTTTTGTTGCAACATTTTCAAACATCTCCAAGTGGATCACCATGCTTGCTGATGACTGTTGTGACACAGTTCCTTTTTATACAACACGACACGTCAACACAATTCAATTGTCAAGACTCAATATCAAACTTTGAGTCTTGACAATTGGTATAAATACAACAATACTTCC